AAAAAAAAAAAAAAAGAAAAAGAAAGAAAGACGTATGTGTGGAATAGGGGAGCAAAAAGGTAGACGTGGCGCGCGCGGGAGACCCGCCAGTGGCGCGAGAATGTCAAAAACGCGTTTTCCGGGAGGCCACCGATCCCCGCTCCCGCCCGAGCACCTTCGCTTCTCTCTCCTCCGGCGGCTCCATAGCTGCCACTCCCGCCACTTCACTGCGAACTCCTCGCGTAAGACGCGCCCCGCTCGCTCCCTAGGCCCCGCCCACACGCCGTTGGCCCCGCCCCTGGCCGGGCCCGGGATTTCTGGGAGTTGTGGTTTTTCCTGAAACTACTGGCCGCTGAGAGCCTCTGTGCAAGGCTGATCCAAGGCTCTGAGATTGCAAGCCTCGCTGCCTTGCCACCTCCCCGCTTTTCCCGCCTTCCGCGGTATAATTTCCAGTACGAGAAGTAGAGCCGCCTACATCCAGGTTGTTTTTTCTTTCTTTTATTTTTATTTCTTGCTTGAATCACTTGTCTTAAAAAAAAAGTACTTGAAACGTTTGGTTCTTGCTTAGCAAGATGTTTTTGTGTCTCACACATTGATTGCATCCACTTAGAATTTTTATTCTACCCTGGCAATATGAGCTGTGGCAATCTTAACCTGATCCGTTAGTCCCCTAAGAACTAACGAAAATTTTTTTGAGATGGGAGTCTCGCTCTGCTGCCAAGGCTGGAGTGCAGTGGCTTGATATCAGCTGAGTGAAACCTCCGCCTCCGGGTTCAAGCGATTTTCCCGCCTCAGCCTCCCGAGTAGCTGGGATTACAGGCGCCTGCCACCACGCCTGGCGAATTTTTGCATTTTTAGTAGAGACAGGGTTTCACCATGATGGCCAGGCTGGTCTCGAACTCCAGATCTCAGGTGATCCGCTCTCCTCAGCCTCCCAAAGTGCTGAGATTACAAGTGTGAGCCACCATTCCCAGCTAGGAAAATGTTTTTTAGGGGTATCAATCTGCTGGGACTGTCACTGTGGATCAGCCATTCTTCAGTTCATTTCTTGCCTTCCCTAAAGATCTCCCCTCTCCATCACCCTGTATTTAAACACAATGAGAGGTTCTTTTTTTTTTTTTTTTTTTTTTTAAACAGAGTCTCTCTCTGTTGCCCAGGCTGGAATGCAGTGGCATGATCTCGGCTCACCCCAACCTCCGCCTCCTGGTTCAAGGAATTCTCCTGCCTCAGCTTCCCGAGTAGCTGGGACTACAGGCGTGCGCCACCACACCTAGCTAGTTTTTGGGGGTTTTTTTGTTTCTGTTTTTGGCTTTTTGAGATGAGTCTTGCTCTGTCGCCAGGCTGGAGTGCAGTGGCGAGATCTCAGCTTACTGTAGCTTTCATCTGCCAGGTTCAAGTGATTCCTCTGCCTCGGCCTCCTGAGTAGCTGGGACTACAGGGACTACAGGCACACACCACCACACCCAGCTAATTTTTGTAATTTTAGTAGAGACAAGGTTTCACCATATTGGTCAGGTTGTTCTTGAACAACTGACCTCAGGTGATTCACCCGCTTTGGCCTCCCAAAGTGCTGGGATTATATGTGTGAGCCACGGTGCCCGGCCTAAATGTACTTTTTCTTCTTCTTCTTTTTTTTTTTTTTGAAGGGAAGGGAAGGGAGGGGAGGGGAGGGGCAAGGATTGCCACTTTTTCAAACTATATATGCCCAGCAGAAAATTTGAATGCAATCTCCTTATATGTAGTCATAGAGTAATTTTGCCTAAGTCTCACATTTCATGGCTGCCACCTCAGTTCTATATGACTATATAGGTCTATATGACTAAATCATGGAGACTGGAAACAGACCAAGCAGAGATGTAAGTAAAAAACCACAGGGCATCTCATGTGTCAGGCTAATAAGTTTAGACCCTATTTTAAGGCTTACTGTTTTGCTATCAGAATACCAATAAGATATTTAGTATAATAAAATTTATCATTTAGAGTTACTACTGGCCGGGTAGGGTGGCTCATGCCTGTAATCCTAGCACTTTGGGAGGATGAGCCAGGTGGATCACGTGGGATCAGGAGTTCAAGACCAGCCTGGCCAACATGGTGAAACCCCGTCTCTACTAAAATACAAAAATTAGCCCGGTGTGGTGGCACAGGTCTCTACTCGGGAGGCTGAGGCATGAGAATCGCTTGAACCTGGGAGGTGGAGGTTGCAGTGGGCCAAGATCACACCACTGCACTCCAGCCTAGGCGACAGAGCAAGATGGTTTAAAAAAAATTATATATATATAACATAAAGCAATAAAAAAGAAAATGCTATAACAGAGTGGAAGAAGAATCTGGGAAAAACAAAGAAGCAAAACAAGTAGTCTACAGTAAATTAACCCTGTATGCTTTAGTGTTATAAAATTTGGTTACCTCTATTTATTCTCATTCGAAACTCTGGACTTAATCTCACCTTCTGACTCGTATTCACTTGCTTTCTGCTTCAAGTCCTCTGTCACCAGGTAGACATCCCTGTCCCGGACCCTGTTGCGTTCTGAAAGGTGATATAAAATCTCTGTGGTCCGTGGGTTCACCTCATACTGTGGAATGGGATGATCTCCAAATATTTTTTTTAACCACGCAGCAACCTAAGCATTAAAAGACAGACAAATACTACAAGCCTTGTTTACTGTAATGGCACGATGAGACTATGACAGCGAAGTGCTCAAAAGCAAACTAAATGTTTTCTGTGACTATTCGGAAGTCCTACTTCACCTCACTTGTCTTTAGGGAGATACTAGATATCAGGAAATAAAAAATGAGCAAGTACACAATGAATCGTACAAGACGCAAAATTACCAGAGAACAATCCATTCTTTCCCAAGTCTACAAAAGCAGTACAGGCTAACAATTTGCCTCTCTTGAAAAGCCTTAAAGCTTAATAGACCAGTGCGAAAGCATTATTAGGCCGTGCATAGTCTGAAAACAACCATTGTTCCTCCATCAGCAGAAGCTCCGCCACGCTGGGAGCCTCCCAGTGTTGGGATGCAGGGCGCAGAAGCAGCTCAGGTGTGAAAGCAGCCGGGTGAGCAGCAAACAGCGAGGCTTGGCTGGAAGGCGGGTTTGGCTTCAGAAGTCCCGCTCCAGTCTGTTGACAGGGGCTGCACAACGCCTCTTCCAGGCCAGATCCAAACAAAGGGAGGCCCAAACAGGAAGGGAAGCGCCTTTTTCAGGAGGGTCTAAGCACAGGGGGTCTTGCAGATCGTGACCGCGGCACTAAAGACAGATGAGTGGGCCGGGCACGGTGGCTCACGCCTGTAATCACAGCACTTTGGGAGGCCTAGGCGGGCGGATCACCAGTGGTCAGGAGTTCGAGACCAGCCTGGCCAACATAGTGAAACCCCATCTCTACTAAAAATACAAAAATCAGCCGGGCGTGGTGGCAGGCGTCTGTAAGCCCAGCTACTCAGGAGGCTGAGGCAGGAGAATCGCTTGAACTCGGAAGGCAGAGGTTGC